CGTACCCTCACCACCCTTTAGACCTTCCGCACAGCCCTCAAGATCTGGCTATCCCGCCAGGTCTGGGGGTAAAGACTATAATTTGCCCCCACCCGAATGTTGAATGAATGTTGCTCGATCTTAATTATATATTGTGCTTTATGTTATTGTATGTCTTCCCTTCCCTTGTAAGTTGTTAGCCGCCCTGAGTCCCCTCAGGGAAAAGGGCGGCCTATAAATAAACGCAACTATAACTATAACTAACTATAGTAGCATGGTTGTTAAATGAATCTGGCTTCCTCATTGATTTGGCTTGTCAGAAGGTTGCAAAGGTTGATCACATGATTCCAGGACATTGCAACCATCATAAATATGAATCAGTTGCCAAGTGTTGGAATTTTGATCACATGTTCATGGGGATGCTGCAACAGTCGTTTGTGGAAAAACAGCCAGAAGTCACTTTTTTCAGTGCTGTTGTAATTTCAAAGAGTCACTAAATGAATTGTTATAAGTCGAGGACTACTCATATAGAACAGACTGTCCCTGTAGAGCAGGTGTATCAAACTCAAGGCCCGGGGGCTGAATCCAGCCTACAGGGTTCTTAGATCAGGCCCACCTGTTTGGTGACAAAAATTGTGTGAGGGAGAAGCATCTATACAAGCAGTATACATCCTTCTGGGAAAAGAAAATCTCCATAGCTGTCTAAATTTCTAGCTACCATTCCAACCTTCCACAGTTTGAAACTCATTTCAGTGCATCAGATCATTCTTCCCATAATTCTACAGTCCTGAGGGTTTTTTTTTTGAATTATGGAAGCTGAAATGCAATGTGTACCAAGTCAAAGAACTCATTACACTGAACTAGCTGGCATTTGATGGCAAAGAAGTGAGGTCCTGCCCATCTTTTTTTTTGTTCCTGCCAATATTTAAATTGCCCTGCAAATTAGGTACCTTTGTGATCTCTTAGCAACCTTCTTTATAATGTGGGATGGATGTTAGATTGACAGGAGCCAGCCAGAACAATCTTCTACTGTAAATTACCTCGGAAACAACCCATTCAAAAATATAATTGTGCTTATTAATGGTGTGAAGAATATCAGAAGCCATTTCTTTATATCTTTTTTCTTTCTATTTTATTTTTCTTTTATTTTTCTCTTATGTTTTCCCCCTTTTTTCTTTTTGTTTCTTACTTTCTATTACTTTGTTTAATTTTCTTTTTTAAAAGATTTGATAAAAGTCATATGCATAAAAAAAGAAAACAGCCTATTGAAACGACATGCATCAAAGATGCCTATCAGCCAAAGAGAGAGAAATGGACAAGGAAAACTGCAACCTTAAGCTGCTTTGCATCCCAGGTCTCCAATTAGAGATGGCCAAATGGATGCTGGGTACTTGAGAGACCGCCTACTGCCAATTACCTCCACTAGACCAATAAGATCCCACAGACTAGGCCTCCTCCGAATT